TTGTAATAGGTGAGTTAGCCTTCTCGTTCCTTTATGTTTTATATACCAATTTGCAGCTCGTGAAATTCTCTATCGAATGGTATATAATAGTTGGGGTTTTGTTTGAGTATGATAGGAAAAGTCTTTTACGAAAGCGGGGATGAGTCGATTTTCGCATAGGAAGCCATAGGAAAAAATGAGTATTTTTGCAATAACTCAGGAATGGTTCGGCCAATTCTTCTCATCTTCGAACTTGATCGAGACATTGTTAAGACTGAACTGTGTAGAAAATTTCATCGTGATCTGGCTCTCCTTTCAAAAGTTATCGTGTAAACGGACGGGCGGCTGGACACACTGACCGATTCTAGAGTGTATGAACTTTTTGAGTACACAATAATAATAAAAGATAAAAAAATAAATTTCTTGTGTATGTGTTTTCCAGGCGGAAAAATTTGAATAATATAAAAATATAGTGAAATATATTGAAAATCTATTGATTTATTGTATATGTTATTGGAAATAATGTGAAGATTCTATGATGAATATTGAAGATAAACATAATGCGTCCAACTGGAATACCTCGAATAAGTAACAACGGTTTTCTAAACGACCAAGAGGAAATGTAAGTTTATTTTGAAAAACATATATATTTTCCTTGTTTAGAATCTGCTCTTGATCAAACGATCTACATAGACAACAGAATTATGGCAGATGCTTTTGATGAACGAATAAAAAATAAATATTTAGCTGGAAGTTATTTAGGAAAATAAGCTGAAATAATAATAGAAAATAATCGATATTTAATCGTGCGGTAACCATTTGATAAAACTGTAAGACGATTGAAAAAAGCTATATGATTCTTATCTGTTTATTTTTAAAGATTAACTATGCGAAAAAAGAAATTTTCTTTAATTTATTTCATCGAAGTCTATGATCTTTATCCTTTCATCATGGTCTAAAGAAAAAAAAATGTTTCATTTTAGCAATAAAAAAGAATTTCCAAAAAACTTTTACAAGCAATTTTCTACAAAATCGTGTAGATTTGAAAAAGATGCCTATCGAGAGATCAACAGTCTTTCTTGTAACAAAAATTCTTTATTTTCTTTGCCAAGAAAATGAAATATTTATGCTGATATGAAGAGTAGAATGTATTACAATCTATGGAAAGCTGAGATAGTTTTATAAAAGGGACTAAGTCTATCATTAGATAGACGGTATTTGTTTAATGATTGGGTTAAAAATAATTATTTTCAAAATTCTTTCTCAAAGAGAGATAGAATATAACAGAAAAGAGCAAAACTATTCAGGATAAAGATTTTATCTTTTTAAAAATTTTCCTAAATAAATTCTATTTGAAATTTGATTCATTTATTATTTATTATTAAGAGGAATGAAGTGAGAAATGAAGGATATTTTCAAAGGAGGATCTCAATAAATAATTACTAAAAAAATAAATGACATTTTAGTTTGAGTCTTTAATAATTGAGAAATATTTATCTCTATATATAATAGACCGATTTTGCTAAAAGTTTTTCAATATTTCCGAAAAATGAATTTATTTCAAGATAAAACAAGATAATTAAATAATAAATAATAATAAAATGGTTAAAAAGACGGGAACGCGACAATTGGTCGAGCGAAAATTGGTCGAACGACAATTAGTCGTCGTCAATTGGTCGCCATGACAATTGGTCGCTACGACAATTAGTCGAATAACAAATTGGTCGTAAGCTTATTATAAGCGAAGAGATGATTTAATAATTATATCTCTTGTAATCTGATTAATCTGACGAAACAGAGTAACATGTAATTAAAGACTAATTAGTTTTGGAACACATGAAAAAGAGAAAGATACAGAAATGATCAGTATGATTAAAAAAAGTATGAAATATGAAGTAAATAACTAATGGGATTAATTAACTTTATCAGAATATTTCTAAAAAAGAAAAAAAATCATTTCTCACTTCATTCAAATCATGTCAAGTTTCAAAATTGCTACAACCGAAAAAAACAAACCGTTATTGATACATAACGGTTTTAATTATACGATTGATCGAACTTCAGAAAAAAAAACTTATTGGAAATGCGAATATTGTCGAACTATTAAATGTAAAGGAAGAATACACACTGATGTTAATTTCACTAATATTTTGCGCGAAAATGGTGATCATAATCATCCTGCAAATGCTGCAAATACTGAAGTTAGATTATTTCAAGATGAAGTGCGTTCTCGTGCTATGAATACAAACGAAAGTACTCAAAATATTATCGACAATTGCTTAAGAAATGCATCGGATCAAATGGTAGCACGTCTTCCAAATTTCAAAAACATTAAAAGAAATATTCAACGACAACGACAACAAAATGATTTACCTAAATTTCCATTAGATAAAAATTTTAATATAATTCCACCATCTTTAACAACAACATTTAAAAATGAAAAATTCTTAATATTTGATTCTGGACCTGGTAATAATCGTTTACTTATATTCGCATCTATTAATCAATTAAGAATATTAGAAGGTGCTGAAGAAATTCTAATTGATGGTACATTTAAAGCGCGTATTTTTTTAATTCTCAATTGTTCTAGAGAAGACATAATTATACATTGGATTTTCATCTTAGATAACACCAACTATTTTCACTCAATTATACACCATACATGGTGTCTATCGAAATAATATATTTCCATTAGTTTTTGCTGTACTTGCTGATAAACAACAACAAACGTATCAACGATTAATTAATGAATTAAAAAATTTGTGTCCTTCATGGAATCCCAAATTAATAATGGTTGATTTCGAAAAGGCGGAAATTAATGCTTTTCAATCATCATTTGGTACAGCTACAAATTCAGTTGGAATGTCAGCTTGCTTTTTTCATCTTCAAAAAAGTATATTGCGCAAATTACAAGTACGTAACTTTTGCATGAAGGTCATATAATATTTTCGACGTATCGTAGGATCTGGGATTGAAAAATAATTATGAAAATGATTCAGAATTTGCATATAATGTTCACAAAATTTCTGCATTAGCATTTCTTCAACCATCTGATGTTGCACAAGCATTCGACGATCTCTATCTATCTTTACCTCCAATCTTAGAGCCTGAAATGGATTATTTTGAAGATTCGTACATTGGAAGACGTCGACCAAATGGACGTGCAACACCGAGATTTCCGATTGACTTATGGAATATGCATTACCGAACAATCAATGATTTAATGCGTACTAATAATCAAGCAGAAGCTTGGCACAGAAGGCTCAACTCTGTAATACAATGTGAGCATCCATCTCTATGGATTTTTATTCAAAGTCTTCAGAAAGAAGAAAATTATATTCGTTGTCAAATTGTTAAATTGGATGCTGGAGATAAATCATTTCGAAATAAAAAATATTTAGATTATAGTCAACGTTTAAAGAACTTGTTACTATCTCCACATCCAACTCTTCTTACACAATTAGAAGGACTAGCAAGAAATTTGTAATTGAATTTAACTCTATTGTATTCTAATTTCTGTTATGACTGTTGTTATTATACATGTATAATTTTCTTGTTATTTAATAAATTATTCTCTTGCTCACTCTTTGTAGACGACCAATTTGTTATTCGACTAATTGTCGTAACGACCAATTGCCGTGGCGACCAATTGACGACGACTAGTTGTCGTTCGACCAATTTTCGCTCGACCAATTGTCGTAGACCCTGATTTCATACTAGGGATCAGTGAATATATCCATGATTTGCAAGAGTCATTCTGTTACATGTTAAGTAGCTCTCGTCAACTGGATTTTGAATGTGAAGAAAGATGAAGAAACATAGAAAATGTCCTATAATGTGAGTATCAAATTTGTCAAGTTTACTTGATGGTTGAAATAGTCTACTCTTTACCGAATAATCTTGAGAACATTCGATTAAACGGAAGAGAAAAGTATTTTTTGCTTGTTCTACTCTAGAATTTTAACGTTTCGTCTTTCAAACGCACATATTCGCCTCGTCATTCGACAGTCTGACACATAGCCTCCAAAATGCTTGTTTAGGATTCAAGTTCCATCACCTCCCTTCGTTGATACATCATAAGTTTTGAAGATAAGCTTAATTTGCTTTGAAAACAACATATTTTCTAAAGTATAATATAATTGGCAGATATTCTAATTTCTTCTCTATCGATACATGCAAGGCTGGCGAGGGAACCACTCGAGGTGACACCTTCCATTTTGATTGATTTATATCTTATTCGATCGAATATATTGAGATAGTAAAAAACCTAAAGAGATTCCTTCATCATGGTTCTTTCTTCAAAAATGATGGCTGTTTTACAGAATTTTCGACTCATTCCTATGTATTTATCGAAAAAATGAAACTACGAAATTTCGACCTGCAATTTTGTCCATATATAGGTCTAATGTTCCTTAGAATATTCTGAAAATTTCAGCCAAAATGAATGTTCCTTTCTTGAGATATTGATTTTTCAATTGGACTCAGTTTTTGTTACCTATGTACTCCTGCCAAGCGACTATTTTGTGAAACAATGAATATCTCGAGAAAGGAACATTCATTTTGGCTGAAACTTTCAGAATATTCTAAGAACCATTAGACCTATATATGGGCAAAATTGCAGGTCGAAATTCCGTAGTTTCATTTTTTCGGTAAACACATAGGAATGAGTGGCAAAGTTCAGTAAAACAGCCATAGTTTTTGAAGAAAGAGCCATGATGAAGGAATCTCTTTAGGTTTTTTACTATCTCAATATATTCGATCGAATGAAATATAAATCAATCAAAATGGAAGGTGTCACCTAGAGTGGTTCTCTCTTATCTTCCCACTCTTCTGAAAGAGATAATTAAAAAAATGCAGTGTTAATATTGACACTGAGTAACGAGCAAGCCAACATCCATTATATGTCAGTGGTTTTTGTGTAATGAAGCAAATACGAAACGAAATAAATCACTTTGTGAAACTTGTCTATTAATGAATGTTGAAGTACAGAGCAAGAAACGGAATCATCTCAGCCTGACACACACACCATCATAGACATGTCCACATGCTATAAGATGTCACGAGATTTACTCGATTTTGAATGATTCTGGTCTTTGTCCTTCTCCTTATTCGACAGGTGGCTGTGTTCCTTCGACCAGACTTCAACGATCGAGGTCTTTGTCTCCACTTGATCTCTATCTATGTGACTGATTGTTGTTTTTCTTCCTCAAATTCAGTTCGACAGTTTTTGTTGGTTCCCATCCAGGAGTAGGTGTGACTGATAGTGTATGGGGATGGATGTGCGCGTAGATAAGAAACATTCACGTACGTACACCTTAGTATTATAAATACAGTACTTCAGAAAAAGTCCAGTCAAGCTGAAAAATCCCAAATATATGCAACTAGATTATGAGTGAGGATTTCGGTGTGGGTGTCTCTTCGTTTCCCACACACTCACAACCTTTGTGATTTTGATCGAAAACGATCATAACTAACAATGGAAGAGTTTGTGTTGTTAATTAATAATATTAGATATATTCGGGTCAAATTAAAGATCTCACCACCAAATTATCA